CAAGCAGTCCAGAAAATAATCGCCATCTTGAAGACGCGGAGGTGATCTGCAAAGCTGTCGCCATTTAGAAAAATAAATAAATAAATAAAAATACGGGAAAATGATGTTCATGCACGGAGAGGTAAAACGTCGTAGATGTAGTTCCCTGGTTAAAGGTGAAAATGTCTCACTGCTTGAGACAGAAATCTGTGCGTCTGTGTTGACAGCACCCTGAATAAAACACAACGAGCCTCTTCCTGTGCAGACAGGCAGGAGGACTGAATGACGAAACAACTGATTCTTTTTTTTGTTCCTTAACCAACAGCGTCCCTCGGAGTCAAAAACATGAACATGCATATATTTATATATATATTTATATTTTTTATCAAGATTAATATTTTGCTTTTGAGTTAACAACTTATGCATTTTTTTCTTAAAGGACAAAATAAAATCTTAAACAAAAAAAATAAAAAAAATGATGTCGACCCACTCCACCCCCCCCCCCCCACACACACACACACACACACAAACCAACCGCTTTGAATGTTATCAGCAAACACTTCACACGCACACTTTGGTATCAGCTTCTGTTGTAGGTGTGCTGTATCAATAAATCTGACTTGACATCCTCCCCTTAAATAAACACACACATAGTTTGCTATAAAATTAAAGAAAAATTACCATAACATGTATTTATTTTTACTTCATGAAAGATGAAATAACTAAACAAGTGTGTCGCCATTAATAAAGCACAGAAAAATAAATATTAGGATAGGCCTTATTCAAACGTTAAAGGCAGTCCAAACAAATAACAAAGTTCTTGCAAATTTAATTAAAATCTAATTGACAAAAATGATTATATATATATATATATATATATATATATATATATATATATATATATATAAACGTCTTTGATCATTTAATCAAATAAATCAGCTCTTACAGGCAGTTAAAGTAGGTATAATCAGTAGCTTAAGTCTGAAAGTGTTAGTAGCATTAATTAATGCAAGTACAGACAATATTAAAAATAATAGCATTTACTATTGAATTGTGTTATCGATAACACAAATAACAGCAAGTAATTAAAGTATTTACTGACAATATTCAATAAATCATTTTATGACTTTTTTTTTTAAAGAGTTTATTTTATACTATGCACAATAAAGAATGAGCACCAACATAGGTCAACAGTATTCCACTTAGGAAGTTGATATTTTACTAATGGAGGAAAAAAAAAAAAGTTTATGATCAAGTTTAAAAAACAACAGTAGTTACCTTCCAAGAACAACAACAACAACAACCAATCAAAAAACACCCACCAGTGATCATAAAGGAAACACTGTTAAACAGAAACCTATTGATTCATTTTCAGTGTTTCTTCCCAACATGGACAGAATGCTCTCCTTGGTGCTGAAACAGACCAAGTCACACAACAGCATTGCAAACTCAGAGGAAAAGGAGTGCAGCCAAAATTAAAACTCACCTCTAGAGGAGAGTCAGGTTGGTCCAGGAGGTTCTTGTCAC